GTCACGGGCCCTTCTTATTGAGCTCGTCACCCTTTCACAAGCTCCTCATGGACGGAAAAACAGGGGACTGAGGAGAATTATGGGAAAAGCTCTTTATTTCTGACATGCCAACCCCTCCTCTGTCCTTATTACACACACACAAACACACACACACACACACACACACACACACACACACACAATCACAATATTTACTGTGCTTCCATCATGTATGTGTCTGTGTGTATTAGTGTGTGATTAACAGTGGGAGTGTGTTTCAGTGTGTGTGTGTGTGTGTGTATCAGTGAGTGTGTCAGTGTATGTGTTCGCATCAGTGTGAGTAGTATAGTGTGTGTATATATATATCAGTGCAAGTGTGTGTATGTGTGTGGGTGTCAGTGTGTGTATATGGGTGTAAGGGTGTGTTTGTGTGTGTGTGTGTGTGTGTTTGTGTGTGTATATATCAGTGTGAGTGTGTGTGATTATTAGTGGCAGGGTGTGTGTGTGTGTGTGTGTGTGTGTGCGTGTGTATATCAGTGTGTGTGTGTGTGTTTTCAGCATATTCTCCTCATATGGACATGTCTGATTACCCGCAAGCCCTCAGTCCCTCGTCTCCGCGCCGTTACTCCCCCATCCCTAAGGGCCTGTTTCTGGACGACGACATTTCCAGGTCACACACACACATGATTATGTAGATATGCAAATGAGCTCATATCATTAACATGCGACATTAACATTGCATACAAACATGCTGCTGTCTACAGGCGTTAAATTAATTCATGTGATTATATATTAATATTGAGTCTGGCCTAATTCAGCTCAGTCTAACTAGCAGCCAATCACGGATGACCTTTACACTTACTAGCCACGCCTAACAAGCACTAAAAACATCCTAGCAACTGTCCCATAGACAGCTGTTCTAACACATGCTAACAATTCTAACATGCTACTGACATGCTAATCTAGAAATATGCTAGTAACATTTTAGTCACATGCTAATGCTAATTTGCTAATTTGTGCTAACAACATGCTAATTCATGCTAACAACATGGTAATTCATGGTAACATGAATAACATAGTAACAACATGTAATTTAATGCCATAAACATGCTAGTTGTATGCTAATTCATACTCTATTCATGCTAACGGCATTATAATTTATGTTACAAACATACTGAAAACATGCTATTTTATGTTTGAATGATGCTTACAACATAATTTATGTTAGAAACATGCTAAATCATGTTGGAATCATGTTAAGAACATGCTAATTTATACTAGAAACATGTTAACAACATGCTAATTTTGTTAAAATTATGCTAGCAAACATCCTAATTAATACTAGATTCGTGTTAACATGCTCATTCATGTTAGAAACACGCTAACAACATGCTAATTCATGCTAGAATCATGCTAACAACATGTTAATTTATGTTAGAGACATGCTAGAAAAATGCTAATTTATGTTGGAATCATGTTAAGAACATGCTAATTCATACTAGAATCATGCTAACAACATTACATTTGTGCAAGAAGTATAACAAAATGCTAATTCATGCTAGATTCATGGTAATTTATGTTAAATTCATGTTAAAGACATGCACATTCATGTTGGACTCATTCTAACAAGATTCTAACCATTCTAATCTAGAAATATGCTAGTAACATTTTAGTCACATGCTAATGCTTATTTGCTAATTTGTGCTAAAAACATGCTAATTCATGCTAGAGTCATGGTAACAACATGCAAATTAATGTTGTAATCATGCTAACAACATGCTAATACATTTTAGAAACACATTACCAACATGCTAATTCATGCTATAGCCTTGCTAGTTGCATGCTAATGCTAGAATCATGTTAACAATATTCTAATTAATGTTGGAATTGTGTTAAAACATACTAATTCATGTTAGAAACATGCTAACAGCATTGTAATTTGTGTTGGAATAAAGTTGATTACATGCTAATCCCTGATAGAAACTTGCTTATATGCTAATTCATGCTAGAGTCATGCTAGTTGCATGCCAATTCATACTAGAATCATGCTAACAACATGTTAATTCATGCTAGAAACATTCTAACAACATGTTAATTTATGTTAAAACATGCTAGAAACGTTAATTTATGTTGGAATCATGCTAACAACATGGCGATTTATGCTAGAATCATACTAATAGTGTCAACTTTGTGCTAGAATTGATATCAACATGCTAATTTATGCTAGATTCATGCTAACAACATTCTTATTCATGTTAAAATCATGTTAAAAGAATGCAAATTCATGTTAGAATCATTCTAACAACATGCTAATCAATGTAAGAAGCATGCCTCCAACATGCTTATTCATGCTAGAATCATGCTAACAACATGTTCATTTATGTTAGAGACATGCTGGAAAAATGCTAATTTATGTTGGAATCATGTTAAGAACATGCTAATTCATACTAGAATCATGCTAAAACATTACATTTGTGCAAGAAGTATAACAACATGCTAATTCATGCTATAGCCATGCTAGTTGCATGCTAATGCTAGAATCATGGTAATAATATTCTAATTAATGTTGGAATTGTGTTAAAACATACTAATTCATGCTAGAAACATGCTAACAGCATTGTAATTTGTGTTGGAATAAAGTTGATTACATGCTAATCATTGTTAGAAACTTGCTTATATGCTAATTCATGCTAGAATCATGCTAAAAACATGCTAATTCATGCTAGAATCATGCTAACAACATGCTAATTAATGTTGTAATCATGCTAACAACATGCTAATACATTTTAGAATCATGCTAGTTATATGCCAATTAGTACTTGAATCATGCTAAC